CTTTTGAAGGCCCATATTTTTGGATTTTCATTCCGCTGGTGATCATACTTTGTTGGTGGACACTTTAGTTATACATGTTTACGAAATCGTTGTCAAAAGTTGTCGGAAAATAGAAAAACATATTCGAATTTGGCGTCGAATAATTGATATAGCACAAAATATGGCAAAATCTGATTTTTACCCATTTTTGAAGTCCCGTATTTTTTAATTTGCATTCCGCTGGTGATCATACTTTGTTGGTGAACACTTTAGTTATACATGTCTACGAAATCGTTGTCAAAAGTTGTCGGAACAAAGAATGACATATTCGAATTCGGGGTCGAATAATCGTTATCGCACCAAATATGACAAAATCAGATTTTTATCAATTTTTGAAGGCCCATAATTATTCAATTTTAATTCCGCTGGTCATCATACTTTGTTGTTGGAGACTTGAGGTATACATATAAACGAAATCATAGTCAAAAATTGTCGGAAAATAAAATAACATATTCGAATTCGGGGTGGAATAGTTGATATCGCAATAAATATGACAAAATCTGATTTTCATCAATTTTGAAAGGCCTTTTTTTTTTAATTTTCATTCCGCTGGTGATCATACTTTGTTGTTGGATACTTAGGTTATACGTGTAAACGAAATCTTGTCAAAAGTTGTCGGGAAATAAAATAACATATTCGAATTCGGCATCTAATCATTGAGTTCGCACAAAATACAGCAAAATCTGATTTTTCGTTAAATTTTGGAAGCCCATATTTTGTTAAGTTTAGTTCTGCTGATGATCATACTTTGGTGTTAGACACTTGACTTGTACATGTCATTGAAATCGTTGTCAAAAGTTGTCGGCATATAAAGCAACATATTCGAATTCGGCCTCGATATATCGAGTACGCATCAAATTTCAGAAAATCTTGTTTTTGGCTTGTATTTGAAGCCCCATAAATCATAAAGTCCAGCTTTGTTCCCTTCAACTTTTATATATAATACTTTTCACTATGGATACTATTCAAAATTACCGTTGAAAGTTGTCGGCATATTGTGAATCATATTCGAATTTGGCATCGAATTATTAGGTTCGCACGAAATATAGCAAATTCTGATTTTTTGTTAATTTTTGAAGGTACATATGTTTTTAAGTTTTGTTCCGCTTTTGATCATACTTTGGTGTTAGACACTTGACTTAAACATGTGATCGAAATCGTTGTCAAAAGTTGTCGGCATATAAAGCAACATATTCGAATTCGGCCTCGATATATCGAGTACGCATCAAATTTCAGAAAATCTTGTTTTTGGCCTGTATTTGGAGCCCCATAAATCATAAAGTCCAGCTTTGTTCCCTTCAACTTTTATATATAATACTTTTCACTATTGGTACTATTTAAAATTACTGTTAAAAGTTTTCGGCATATTGCGGATCATATTCGTATTCGGCATCGAATTATTAAGTTCGCACGAAATATAGCAAATTAGGATTTTTTGTCAATTTTTGAAGGGCCATATTTTGTTAAGTTTTGTTCCGCTGTTGATCATACTTTGGTGTTAGACACTTGTCTTGTACGTGTCATCGAAATCGTTGTCAAAAGTTGTCGGCAAATAAAGCAACATGTTCGAATTTGGCCTCGATGTATCGAGTTCGCATCAAATTTCAGAAAATCTTGTTTTTGGCCTGTATTTGAAGCCCCATAAATCATAAAGTCCCGCTTTGTTCCCTTCAACTTTTATATATTATACTTTTAACTATTATTACTATTCAAAATTACTGTTAAAAGTTGTCGGCACTTTGCGGATCATATTCGAATTCGGCATCGAATCATTGAGTTCGCACGAAATACAGCAAAATTTGATTTTTCGTCAATTTTTGAAGGGCCCTATTTTGTTAAGTTTTGTTCCGCTGTTGATCATACTTTGGTGTTAGACACTTGACTTATACATGTGATCGAAATCGTTGTCAAAAGTTGTCGGCATATAAAGCAACATATTCGAATTCGGCCTCGATATATCGAGTACGCATCAAATTTCAGAAAATCTCGTTTTTGGACTGTATTTGGAGCCCCATAAATCATAAAGTCCCGCTTTGTTCCCTTCAACTTTTATATATTATACTTTTAACTATTGGTACTATTCAAAATTACTGTTAAAAGTTGTCGGCACTTTGCGGATCATATTCGTATTCGGCATCGAATTATTAAGTTCGCACGAAATATAGCAAATTATAATTTTTGTCAATTTTTGAAGGGCCATATTTTGTTAAGTTTTGTTCCGCTGTTGATCATACTTTGGTGTTAGACACTTGTCTTGTACATGTCATCGAAATCGTTGTCAAAAATTGTCGGAAAATAAAGCAACATGTTCGAATTTGGCCTCGATGTATCGAGTTCGCATCAAATTTCAGAAAATCTTGTTTTTGGCCTGTATTTGAAGCCCCATAAATCATAAAGTCCCGCTTTGTTCCCTTCAACTTTTATATATAATACTTTTCACTATTGGTACTATTCAAAATTACTGTTAAAAGTTGTCGGCACTTTGCGGATCATATTCGAATTCGGCATCGAATTATTGAGTTCGCACAAAATACAGCAAAATCGGATTTTTCGTCAATTTTTGAAGGGCCATATTTTGTTAAGTTTTGTTCCGCTGTTGATCATACTTTGGTGTTAGACACTTGTCTTGTACATGTCATCGAAATCGTTGTCAAAAATTGTCGGAAAATAAAGCAACATGTTCGAATTTGGCCTCGATGTATCGAGTTCGCATCAAATTTCAGAAAATCTTGTTTTTGGCCTGTATTTGAAGCCCCATAAATCATAAAGTCCCGCTTTGTTCCCTTCAACTTTTATATATTATACTTTTAACTATTATTACTATTCAAAATTACTGTTAAAAGTTGTCGGCACTTTGCGGATCATATTCGAATTCGGCATCGAATCATTGAGTTCGCACGAAATA